AACATAGGCTACATCTATAAGTAAGTGTTGATCTTCTAGAGCGCACCAGCTTTCAGAGCCTACCAGTTAGTTTGAGAAACATGAAAAATCTGTTCTAAAACCATGCTGCTTTTCAGAAAGAATTCGATTTCCGACTAGATACTTCAGTAACTCCTTCTGAATAACCTTTAGTAAAGCTTTAACAACCATTCTGATTAAACTTACGGGTCAGCAATTCTCATATTTGTGTCTCGTATCTGTTTTGAAGAAAAGACTTCATACATCATTATTCCAGTCTTCTGGTAATCGACCCTGGGTTACAGACAGATTAAAACATATGCTCAAGGGATTCACGGCAAAATTTGCTAATTCCTTTGGTAACCTAGGATGCGTTTCATCCGGTCCCATGGATTTGCCTAAAAGACGCTCATTTAGCAGACAAAAGACATCGAGTTTTCTAATGGTCACAGTGCCCAGTATGTGTGGGTGGCTTTATATTTTAACTGTAGGAGAAGGCATCTACACGGTACATACATTGCTGAAATAACTTGTGAATACTTGAGCTTTACCATAATCATTCTCCAGTGATGATGAAGCATTAATGTCTTCCCATAATGCTGGAATATTTTCTCTTCGCTAATTCATTTGATTTACGTACGATGATAAGTGAATAGGGTATTCTATAGACCCTTTAACAAGTTTATCTAAATACGACATTCTAGACTCGTGGAGGGTCGAGACACATATATCCCGAGTTTCCTGACATTGAGATTTTGTCTCATCAGTGCCCAGTAACCTAAACCTCTACCGCATTCTTCTCTTACGGAGAAGGGGGCTAGACCCTTACTGGACCATGACAGGAAGTTTCCCGGACTCGCTGGTTTAGTCCAAAAGATGTGAGTTGTTGTGCGAATTTCTGAATATCTTCCAAGCAATGTCAATAGGTGGCTATGGTCCTATTGCCTATCCTACTGAGCATGCAGACTGTATAATTCCTCGTATATTTGCTTTCAAGACGTTTAGTCTGACTTGAGAAGACACATCTTCGTAATGGACAACTATATGGAAATCGAATATTAAACTGTATGGTCACTTTCACCTACGAGTGGTATATAATGGAGGTTTGTGACGTCAATCCCGTTGTAGGGAGCAATTTCCTACAGGTTTAATTCTAAACTATTCTCTAGACCGTCCAATACAGAGTCTTGGTTTGGCCAAAGTCAGAACAAGTAAGCTATTTGGCTATATAAACTTTATCTGTTTCTAAAACATAAATTAACATCGTTAGTGTACAAACAAACAGTACGGTCCATTAATACAGGGAAAAAGAGACAAATAACACACCGAACAGTAACCAGAGAATAGGAAAAATGAGTCAACAAGCAAATATTGTTTTACAATGAACATTGAACTATGATTAGTTAATAAAGAGATACAGTCGTACAAGGTTAAAAGGAGTTAATGTGGTGGTGGGCGTTTCCCTTTATTATTGGTGGGTTCGTTTATCGATCACAACTTACACTCCCCCCCGAAACGCCCACCACGTCCATTGTCCAGGGTCATCGTCGCCGTCAGACAACCGGCTTTTTCCAGCAGGCATAGGCTTCGCACATCTCTGATGATTTCTTCGTTTGAAGTTCTCAACTTTGACGTGCGGACTCGTCCGTTCGGGCCATAGCTTACTTGCTCGACTATAGCCTTAGGCCATAGACCTCTATTCATTTCGACGTTACTAACGAGGACTAAGTCACCCGGTTGTAAGTTCTTGTGTACGTCCAACCATTTGTCTCTTGCTTGGAGAGTCGGTAAATATTCGTTTATCCATCTATTCCAGAATGCGGTGGTTAGTCTTTGAGCTTCTTTCCATCTTTTGTTGTATAATAACGTCTTATCCACCGAAGCATCGGCGAATGATAATTTTTTATGAATCAACAACAACTTGTTCGGAGTAAGAGCTTCTAGGGTACCAGGGTCATCTGTCATCTTAACCAGAGGTCTGTCATTCAGTATCCGTTCCGCCTCAGTTAAGAAGGTTTGCAGAGTTTCATCGGTCAACACGTTTTGGAATAAAAGCACTCCTAAGATTCTTCTAATTGATCTTATGATGCGTTCCCACACACCACCTCGATGACTTGCTCTAGGTGGGTTAAAACGCCACTCACATTCTAGTTCTTTGAGGTGGTTTTCTATTTTATTAGTATTCCAGGAACGTATAATCTGTCTCAAACTGGCATCTGCAGCTCGGAAGTTTGTGCCGTTATCACTAAAAATACGCTTTGTACATCCTCTCCTGGCAATAAATCTTGATAATGCGCATAGAAATGAATCCATATCTAAAGAGTAGACCATTTCGATGTGAACGGTTCTAATAGATAAGCAGGTGAATAAACAGCCATAACGTTTCTCGACAACTCTACCTCGTTTGGCATAGAACGGTCCGAAGTAATCCACACCTACTTGACTAAAGGGTGGCGAATGAATTCGACTCGGTATTCCGGCAACGGTGCCATTAATTGGGAACATGGTTTAGGATAAAGTCTTCTACATAAATAGCATCGTTTTAGAACCTTCCGAACAGTAGAATATCCTCTAACAATCCAACACTCCTCACGAATACTACTCAGAGTTTGAGTAACTCCAACATGTGCGTCAATCACATGATAATGCAATATAATCATATCTGTAACAAAATGATTATTAGGAAGAATAATCGGATATTTGGTGTCAAATAGTAAACATGATAACTTCAAACGTCCTCCCACGCGGATTTTGCCTTCAAACATCAAAGGGTTGAGATTTCTTATAGAACTTTGACGAATTAACTTTCTTTCTCCTGTTCACCTCGTCCATTGCTTCTTGACCTTTTTGCTGTCTAAAAGCGTTTTCTACGAGCGTCAAAGGTGAGCTGTTTAGAATTCTTTTTTTCGGCCGGGTACGCGATACATTAGACTAGTTTAATTATATCACTCTTCGTACAAAGTCAAAAGGAGTTAATGTGGTGGTGGGCGTTTCCATATATTATTGGTGGGTTCGTTTATCGATCACATTTTACACTCGTAATGAATCAATATGAGAACTAGAAAGGATATTTTGGAGTCCATGTCATACCTAGTTGCTTTTTCCACATGATGCAATGGACACCTGTGATAACCGTACCAACTAGTTTCTGTTGGAAAAAACTTTCTGACAGTTCAGTTCTCAGATTTCTCCAGTTTACTGTGGGTGCATTAAGATCTCCTAAGATTAAACATCGACCACTTGTTGACCAAGTGTTGAAACGTCTAGCAAGACCTAATTCGTCGCACAGTTTGGACTGCGGTTGACCAAGTCAATCACAGCTCTTGTAATTTGCATTTTGAGCAGCAGATAACTAATACGCATGTCACACTTTCTTGGGATATGTTATCAATAGTAGTAAATGGGATAGTATTTCTAATGAATAGAGATACTCCCATTTTACTTCCCTGGATTATCGTTGACTAATCTATTGAATGGGATTCGTCACTGTACACTTACTTCCTTGTCTGTGGGAAGACGTTTGACAATGTGAATAAGAGGACCTTACGGGACCTCCTTCAACACTACAGTGTACCTGAGAAGATCGTCGATATCATCTGGAACTCATACGACTGATTACACTGCAAAGTTGTGCATGGATGACAGCTGCCGGATGTACTCCGAGTGAGGACCGGTGTCAGACAAGGCTGCCTACTGTCACCCTTTGTATTTCTTCTCGTGGTTGACTGAATTACGAAGACCTCCACATCTGAGTGGCAGTACGCAATAGAATGGACAGTTTGAATACGACTAGACAATTTGGACTTCGCAGATAACCTAGATCATCTATCCGATCCATACCAACAAATGCTGATGAAGATAGCCAGTGTAACAGAAGCCTGTGCATCAGTAGTCCTCAACATACACAAGTGATAAACCAAGATTCTGAAATGCAGCACGGAGAACATCAACGCAATCGCACTTGATGGAGAAGCTTTGGAAGATGTGGAAACTTCCACATACGTGGAAAGCATCATCGACGAATAAGAAGGTTCTTATGCAAAGGCAAAGGTAAGGATTGACAAGACAAGGACAGCATTCCTATAGTTGAATTACATATGGAACTCAAAACAACTGTCAACTAACATCAAAGTCAGAATCTTCAATACGAATGTCAAGGCAGTTAGTTATGTTGTACGGAGTTGAAAGCTGTAGAACTACTGCAATCATCGATACCAAAGTAAATACGAGTAAAAACGGTCTGAAAGTACTAAAACCGTTCTTTGTCAACAGGCATAGCTGCTAACTGCCGTAACACTTCGAAAGGTTAAATGTGAAAAGTTACAAGATTAAATCGTTAGAATGAACACTAATTACTTCTCGAACGATCCGAATAATACTCATGAAAGCACTGCATACGTGTATCATCAGGGCTCTGTATCAAGTATATTGTTGTTTACTGTCCTCACGAAACTAAATCATAAAAATCTCTTGTTATTCATTATGCTGGTGTCAGCTTTGTAATAGTGTTATAATAAACATGATTCACATGATCCACATGGCAAATTTCGAGGTCCAAATCAGACAATTGTAAATAGGTATAAAACCCCTGTTTTAAAGGAAAAACTCAGAGACTTTTCAAAGAGAAAATGCGACGTGAACATAAGGAATTTAGGATCTAGATACCTAATTATACTAAGACTATATCCAGAAGTCAAAATTATTTATTTATCCTTATCGTACACTGAGTGATTTAATTGACTAAGAAATGATTTTGAACTATATTTATCATTTATTCCATCTTTTTATGAGTTGGGGGAACCCAGAGGACATATTCAGTGGTTTTATATTATAATAATACACATGATCCTCATGACACACATTTCCTAACAAGAGATCAGATCTCAGAGACTACCACATGAAGAAATGCAGTATGCACATACTACTGATTCATCTATGAAATATAACACAAACGAGAATACCATTGAGGAAATTAGACAAACTCTCATCATTGCCACCAAGAGACAAATTCAAAGCCCGAATTATTGGATAATGAATCGCCTGCTTAGGTCACAAATAGGAAGCGGATTAATTGACATCTGCCAACCATAGCTTTTGTCGCTTACAATGCTCCTGGTATGTATATAGATTTTCGACATTTCCACAGGAGCCGTCCTTATATTCTATTAATAGCATACTCATCTTAGATAGTGAAGGGAAGCGCATTTTAACGAAGGTAGCTCAGTCAGTAAATCAAACAAACTTTAATTTTGTAGTATTATGACTCATCGTTTCCAACCGTTAAGCTTCAACTCGAATTCGAGTCGAAACTCTTCAAAAAAACAAGCAAAACTAATGGCGGTAAATTTTCGTTGATTTTTTATGTTTTTTCATTTTAGTGGGTCTGTGACAGGTTCAACTGCGGATCTAAACCATCTCCTTTACAATATTTTTATTGTTAGTGGTCCATTCCGTTTCATACTCATCAAGATAAAAGTAAACAAAAATGATGTTAGTTAGTCGTGCTAGTAGTCAGAACCCAAAACCAATGGGAATAGCACGTACCGTCTCCGTAGTTCGCTCTTAGCAGTTACAAGTATAAAAGTCTAAGGAATCTAAAGCAATTCTCGTAATTCGTAGTACTGCAAAGATGTAATCTCATTTTGGAAGTTCCAACATAGTAACCAAGTTATTGTGTTTTAGTAGGCATGTCGGCCGTCTGAAACTGCAGATGACAAGGATCTGGATATAAAGCAGTTGATTTCGGTTTTTGAACAAGTCTTGAGTTGGTCAGTCCAAAATATCCTCTATACTTCTCAGCATTCTAGTGTTTGTATACCGATATGAATTAAAGCTGTAACCAGTAACCCTCAAGATTCCTAAGAATCAGATACAACTCAATGACTCTCGGGTGTACTCGACTCAAACTTATCTAGTGATTACTGTTACTGACTACATTTTTATGTACACTGAAAGAATTCAGTGTTACAAAAGAGCGTTAAGCACCTTTATTTAAAAATTCCAATACTATGAAGTACTAGTTCAAACATTGTTTTCGAGTTACCTGATTCTTAGTATCTGAACATGGAATGTTCCCAAGTTTGTCGCATCCTTTTTTTATAGTCCTACTTTTTTCTGCCGTCGTGAAATGTTAAAGAAAAAAATTTTTATCTTTTGATTAGAATAGGGTTTCCTATTTCAAAAATTGTTCACATAAAATAAATCCATTTTGTGCCTTCCAGAGTACCTACAATTAAATATCCACTTTCTCGTTTATGTACTCATTTTTGTGTACTTAAAACGATATGGTCAGCTCTCTGACTGAAACTCATCATACTAATGATCAAACGAAATTGCACTTTGTTTTTCGGATTACTATATATATGTATACATCAGTTATCAACGTAGAGTCTGAAGCAGTTTTGCACTGCCCTAAGTTACTACACGTCACCAGCACACCGTAATGAATCTAACAAGGTATATAGCAAAATAGACGGGTATAATGTAGTAATTACAGTTAAAAAAGTATGCCTATAGAAGACAGAGTGAAAAAGTATGCATTGAGATGCCGAAATGAGAGATTGAAAGGTAAAGAGTGAACACATCTGTCCTTTTGAGCCGTGTCATCCAGCTTATAGCTGTTGATTACAATAAGCACATGGGCCCAAACCAGGTAGCCCGTATCTGTCAACATGACACAAACCAAATGTCACAGATTTCACAGAAACCCTAGCTTTATTTCAACCTTCTCCTAAACCAGAAAACATCGCCTGTCGAGGTGAGCTGTGACTAGACATAATTAACATGTCTTCTCTTTTTCCATATATATATATATATATATATATATATATATATATAATACATTTGGCTAATAAAGCCCATTGACTACCTTTACTTTCAGGATCAGACTTTTATGCTTAAAAGATGCGTTTGCACAATCGATCAAATATCATTTCTTCATCAGTCAGTCAGTAACAACGTAAAACTTCGTACGTACGTACATCAGTTCTAGTTGCCACACCACATTAGCACAGAGATGATCATTTCTTCATAATAACCTATGTTGATAAAATTCTTATGGCAGTACGAGGACATCAAAGTAATCGTTTTGAAATTGATTTATTATTTGTTAATCATATGGAAAAGTTCTTATCATCACCAAAGGTTCTCATTGTCCTAATGTTTTACTCCAATCATAATTGTTTGTACGTCTTATTTTGGTCGGATCAGTATAAATGTATGTTGCTCTTTCAATTCTCTAGCGGAAATCACGTTGCTGGACGGCGCGACCTGTGTTTATCGTAACGTGGGCGATCTTTACTTTTATGTTGTTGGGGATGCTAACGAAAACGAAGTGAGTCACATAATGGATCTTTCATTTTGTAAGTTATTACTCGTCAGTGCCCTTCAGTGCTTGTACGATTCTGTCAGTCAAGCTCTGAAACGATCAGTCGAAAAGAAAACACTGATGGATAATCTAGATTTAATTTTCCTTATAGTTGATGAACTGTGTCATAATGGGTAAATAGTGGAATAAATTAATATATGCTTTAAAGCATACTTTTAGAGTCCGACGCAACCGCCTTAGTGTCTCGAGTTGGTGCAAGGACAGACGATATCCCACTTGGAGAGCAAACGGTAGCACAGGTAATTTTAGCTGCTTTTTGCTAGTATCTACGTTGAGTAGGTCAGTCTATGTTTAACATAATTTCGTTGTAGATGTACCTTTAAGTGCGATTCCTTTAGTCACTGCTTTTACATGATTTGGTCTCATATGATGAGGTAAAGTGGAAAAATAAGCCTTAATATGCAAAAACCAACGATATGATATACTGTTAAACGCTAATGGTTTTTCATCTGTTGAAAAAGCCTGTTTTATTTCAGTGAAAGGTCACCGACATATTGACGGAAGGTTTCCAGTTTGGTTTTCTACTCATCTGTCAACTGTTACTGGTGTAGATTCACAACAAATGTTGCTTCTCTCATAAGCAGTGTGTTGAGTAAGTGTACCAGTTCTTGAGTTTAAAAATAGTTGTTTGAGAAACGTGTCTGCCGAAAAACTGCCACAAAGTTTGATTTTAACCAGCTCAAGTCTATTCGCTAACTAGATCATAATCACTCATCTTTAACGTAAAGCCTAGCACAGATGTGTGTGGACCAAAGTTCCCATGTCCCATCAGTACAAACGTGAACGACAACCTTGCTGTGTTCATTTCATTAGATAATTTTTAGTCAATTGTTTTTAAAATCAAAATACATAAAATTCTTCTTTTTCACAACATACAGGCTATCCAAAATGCAAAAGAACAAATACGCATGTCTTTAATCAAGTAGTTCAGTGAAGAGGAAATACATACTTATTTTCACTGTTTTTTGATGGGAACTATGGGTCGGTAATTGAGTAATAACTTTTGTATCTACTCCAACATTTGTCACATTACAGTTGTTCATATTTAGCAAGTCTTTTCGCACATACCCTGGTCGCTGCTGGTGAATTTTTACACTAAGCTAACTAACTCATCAAGCTTTATTTTTGTGTGTGCAATAGCAAACACTAGCTTACATCATATTCTGGCGTTCGTAAAGTACACTTCAAATCATTTCGTTGGCAACTCATGGTAAAGGATGACCACTACAACATAGGGTGTTGTTAAGTCACAAAATCAAAAGTTCTTAGCTGGGTAGATCACTTAAGGCTTTTTAGTTAAGTATGGCCGTGTATATCCAGTTTTCGTTTTTTTTCAAATTTTCTCAGTGCATGTTTCATGAGTAACTCCGCTGACGCTCAGTCACTATCTAGAGTAGCGTTAAGACTTAGAACACCGTCAACAGTAAATAACCATCAGTCAGTCAGTCAGTAACAACGTAGAACTTCGTACGTACGTACATCAATTCGAGTTGCCATACCACATTAGCACAGAGATGCAGTTGTCGATTCAAATCCCATAGTGGTAGAAGTAATAAGAATATAAGCAGTAATCGGGAAGACTAGGGTTTGGAGATGTTATTTAAAGAGTATAATCCAGTGAAATAAATTTGGAAAGAGGAAAAAAGGGACATGAAGAATTCAGAAGATTAGAATTTGGGAGAACACAGAGAGTGGATGCACTTGCGCCATTGCAAACGATTTTGAGCCATGTCATTCAGGGTCTCTAACCATCGGTTGCTATCATCTCGCGGTCCCCAACCAGGTGGTCTACACCACCAACATGACTCAGTTCACTTGTCAGTGACTTCATGGACTTGTGCCATGTTTTTGTTTGGCCGCCCCTAGCTTCCTTCCAACCTACACCTATACTACTGAACATAGCACGTCGAGGCAGTCGGTCGTTGGACATACGTAACACATGTCCCAGCCATCTCAACTGATGAAGTTTCACTACTTCATCAATTGATTTGCCATCCTTACCTAGTACCCGTTTCCTAACAACTGTGTTACTTACTCGATGGTCCCACGATATACGAGCAATGTTTCGAAGACACCTATGATCGAATACTAGTAGCCTACGGATATCCTCTACTCTTACCAGCCATGTTTCACTGCCATAAAGTAGGACGGAACGAACTGCTGCGCAGTAAACACGTCCTTTGGTTGATAGACGGATATCTCGCCTACGCCATAAATGACGCAAGTTGGCGAAAGCTGGCCGAGCCTTCTGTATCCGTGCTGAGATTTCGTCACACACCAGACCACAAGGGCTGATGAGATTTCCAAGATAAGTGAAGCGGTCGACACACTCAACTACTTCACTCCCTATCACTAGTTCGGGTGTCGATTTAACCCAATCCTGAAGCAACATTTTGCATTTCGAGGGGGAGAATCGCATCCCGAACATGCTTGCATTGTTGCTTAGAGTGGTCAGAAGACTGTATTTTGTCAGCGTCTTCACCAAATAGAACTATGTCATCGACATATTCCAAGTCAACAAGTGAATCTCCTGGTAGAAGTTCAACCCCTGGAAATTTGGATGAGGAAAGTGTTATCTCTAAAAGTACGTCGACGACAAAGTTAAACAAGAATGGAGAGAGTGGGCAGCCCTGACGAACACCACTTGAGGTAATCAATTCTGATGACAGTTCGCCATAAGCTCTCACTCGACCAGTTGTGTTCGAGTAGAGAGCCTTTACAAGGTTAATGTACTTCTTTGGTACTCCTTACAATGACAAATACTGCCATAAAACCTCACGATCAACGGAGTCGAATACTGCCTTAATGTCGAGAAATACTACGATTGTGGGGCGTATGAACGTGTGTCTGTGTTCTAAATAACCATAGTCCCTACTGTGTTTCGGGATTAGGCTGTCATTTAGTTCTCTACTGGAAGATGAAGTTAGAAACTATTAATCCACTAGTCCTTTTCGATATCCGGATAAAGTGAAACATTCTTTTTGATATCTTACCCCTACAAATGTAATCCGAACGACAGGATATCCAAACAGTCTTGCTTGACTACTACTCTTATCGGTTTGTAGTTACTGACCATTAATAGCCATTCTGAAAACTTGATTATACTATGGAAATCTGTCAAAATTTGTTCACACAATGAAAACTGAAGACGAAATTCCTTAGTATACAATAATTGGAATGAAACAAGATTATTGGCGTATGCATCATTTAACTACGGAACGTTGAACTCGGTCGGTTATATATTTTTTCTAACGAAGTATTTTTGTCTATGTGTTACGCATATCAAAAGTACTTACGCCTGCCACCCCTTGTGGAGGAGCATAGGCCGTCCACCAACATTCTCGACTGAACTTCGTCCTTGGCAACCCTTTACAGTTGTTATGCATTTTTTGATGTCTGCTTCCAACTCCCGACGCAATATGTTCTTTAGCTTTCCTCTTTCCCTTATCTCTTCAGGATTCTAAGTTAGCGCTTGCGTCGTGATACAAGCGCAACGATTTATTTAGGTACATGGGATGTCCACATCAAAAGTAAATGATTTCAAAACTTCAGCACTAATGTAATCCACATAATCTTATTGATTTATAAACACGTTAAGTTAAGTCAGGGATAACGAGTGCACTTCAGAGGTGAAAAAAGACTCATTCAAAACAAACATATTTATCAAGTTCATACACAAAAAACACAACGAAACGATATTTTATTGCTGACTAGAGGTAACACGCAATAAATGGATATTTCTGAACGAATTACTAGGTGTAGTTAGAACATCGGCCTTGAGACCATATTTCTTAAACAAAACTGAGAGGTCTGTAAAAGAACTGCTATACATAAGCTTTTTTAAATGAGGTTACCTCCGATTTTCGAAAGAAAGAAGTAAAGATGCATTGTTGTTTACTCTTAGTTGTAAAGTTGCAGTCTTCAAAAACGGTTCATATACTAAAAATGAGACTAGAATGATGGACTCACCTTCCTTATCATACAAACAATCAGATGCTAAAATGGTATCGAAGATCCCACCTGACCAGTTGAGGGGATAATTCCAATCTAATGGAGTAAAATCATAATTTTTGATTCCATTCAGCTGAGCATTAAGATGTAGTTTATCCGAATATGTCGTGTCTTTATCAGTGAATCGAACATGAAGAGCCCCGAGAATAGCTGCAGTAATTCCACAAAGTCCTGTGCCAGCACCGAGCTATAATATATCAGTGTTATTGAACAAAACCTAACTTCGAGAACTCGAAGCCCTCTGACTACCTCAGGATAATTCACCAGAAAATCAGACAAGGCTTCTGCACACTTCCAGGTATAGTGACCATAACCCAGGGAAGAGTTCACTAAAATAAATTACGTTAATATAATCGTACCTGATGTATATATTTGTACTTTGATCCCTTGAAATTGAAATATCTGTATCTTAGTATCGACCTATATACATGTAAATATTAAAATAAAAATTTTAGTTCAGTGAAGCAATCCTGTTCTTAAATACATTGATGGGTTTCATATTTAGTATAACGGTTTCATTTTTGTGTAGATTGCTCTTTGTAAAGAAGGTTATAAAAGGTGGGTATTTTAGTTTCTATGATTTTATTACAAAAACGACGTCAAATACAAAATATGTGTATCACGGTTCTGATGCTTAAGCATATGATTATTATTTTTAACGAAATCAGTCATTTTTATCGTGATTGCTTGGAGCACTCGTTGATATATTCTGTTCACTCATTGTCTTTGAAGTATTTTTCTTAGTTAAGATGCGGTTTATTAGATGTGTTATTATTGAGTCGCTGGCATTTTTTTTAAGAGTAACGTTGAAAACAGTAGTCGTAGCCTTGTGAACGGATCCAAACACAACAGCAACGACTGAACAAACCAAACACAAAACATTAAATGGCATACTGAAATCTGGTGTTGGCATTGTGACCAGAGATACAGGAGTGTGTAGACGAACAAAATCATCCTGAGGTGCAGAATGAGTTGTATTGCTAGTAGAAAGAAGAAAGCAAACAATGATATATTTTAAAAGATAGTTTTAACATGTCAATGGCGTATTTGTATATTACTATTGAATTGGTGTCCGGGCCGGGTTAGTCTGACCTCTGCATTACAAGGTCCTATCATTCACTTCATCCACACTTTTCCTGTTATACAACTTGATAGAACATCTCCATCGTCTTGATTCTTATGATTATTCCAAATAACCTAGTGTTTTTTTATTAGCTTGTATTATTGCTGAGTTTTCTACGTGAAAACTGTGAAACTAAATGAACATTTTGGGTTAGCCAAGTAACATCCATTCCCGATATGACATTTAACTAACTTGGTGCATCGCCTACAGAATAATTTTTGAAATATCTGGACAAAGCAAGACCACGCAAATACTAACGGTCGCATGATATAGACAGGTTGTAAGTGGATCATTCACTAGATAAAGGTCACTCCTCACATGTATCTGACTGTGCCGCCTATAGATACAATTTGTAAGGATTATTATTCGGCATCTGGGGGATGCTTTCTTTTACGTTATCTTCTTATACTGCTCAGTTTGGTCGGTCAAGCACTAGTGGTTCAATCGGCTAGCAGATAATAATAGTCAATTATTTTTCATGAATAGATTAGCTATAACACAGGTCTATCAACAAAAATAAGATGGAGCGTAGTGTTCCTAAATAAACTTATGGCCAAAACTAGATAATGAAATACAAAGGCTATATTATTATCTTTAATCTACAACTGATCGAAGTAAGTGCCATTCATAAAATCCTATTTTTGGATGAAAACAGTTTTTACTTAAAATGGTAAGATTCAGTAAAGATTCCATAATCATTACTTCTTCCGTGGTGGTGAAACGCGGGACTTGTAATCAACATTAGGTATTTTATTAAACTTCAAACAAGGAGTGAAGTTGACAGTTCTATCGTCCACAGGTCATAGGAATTCATCAGTAATCTGATTACTTCCATAGATTATATCGGGAGAAGTTTGCGATCAGCATAAAACTGATCACTGGAAATCGAATGCTAACGTATTCATCTACAGACTGATCGAATTTCGTAGATACTTAAGTACGTGAGTATGGAGAATTGTAATTTCACCTAAGTGAACACTTTCGGTTAGCATTTATCGTAACTTGTAACAGGTGAACAGAGAAATCCATGTTCGATAACTACTGGGGGTAATGTTGGACTTATTCCTTAAAACTACCTAGTTTACGCTTTTTTAGCCATGAAATTGGTGGGAAATAGATCTTATCTACTTGAGCACACTGAACATAAAAATAGAATGAGTTATCTTGGGATATTAAAAGCACAAGCTAGGGGATCTATGAATAGGCAAGTAACTTACAAAAACTGATTGTAACTACTGGCCCAATTCGGGAGATTCAGATTGTGGAATGCTGTATGTTTTGTTTTGTTTAAATAATATATTTGTTCGCTGTTTAAAACATACGA